AAAAGAAAAAAAGATTTATTCATTCTCTCTCGTTTTTTATACAGAGAAATTCTTCGGTTTCTTTTAAACTTAAGATTTCATCTTGATGGTGTAGAAGTTATTTACAGCATAAAGAAAACAGAGAGAAGAGTTCAAAGTAAATTGTAGCTAACCACAGTAAAATCACCCTTAGATGGGCATCTACGGGACTTTGTCAAATCGCCCACTTGACAGAAGTGCTCGCAGTTTAGAAGTTTTTACAGATACCAACCACAAATATGTTTTCCGTAAGCTACGTCACAAAGAATTCTCATACATATATATGTTACCAATCTGTCTTTAGACCTTCGACTATGCCCAGTATTTTACTCTAATCATATGATGTCTTATCTTCATTTAATTTAATTTTCTATTTTCCTATCTACAATCAAACTTTTCGAAAAAAATCCATAATTAAGCATTACTTGTTAGATTTTGAAACAATTGCAGTTTGCGTTTAAAACTTTTGTTCGTATTCGTTTGCAAACCGTACTTGTATTTGTTTTTTCGTTGAAGAATATTGTATACATCACTCTTGGATACCTTGTACTTCTCACACAATTTGCACTGTGATAGTCCAGTTCCATCGGCATAGTTGTTGATCAATGCGATATTCTCATCAAGCGTAAGATGATGATATGACGTCATTTCTCAATGGTTCTATACAGTGATGTCAAATAACACGACTATTTATACTCTTTTTATCATAGACAGCACAATTAGAAATGTATAGATGAATTATTTTCTTTGTTACGTCGGATGTAAACTTTTCTCCCTCCTATTCATAGAACAACAAAGAATGACGAGAAGGCAAAGAACAGTGTACTGGTTCAAATATTCACTATATGTACTCATGTAAGAGAGGTTCGACTATACAGTATGGACTAAAAATAGTACCTCACTGCTCAGAAGTGAGAGGTGCCCATATAGAAAAGTTTTACTGTATTAATTTTATTATTTAACCGCATAGTGCTATTTTCACAGTCATAATTAATAGTTTTATTAATTCCTATAAACTAACATAAAAAGAATCATTACACAAAAGAAAATATAGAAAAGATCAAATCCTAATAATGTGCCGAAATTTTTGCATTGCCTATTTAAATATTTACAAATAATTTTTATATTCTATTCAATATTTTTTATTTTGACCAGCAATCAAAAAAATAAAACAAAATCTAAAATTATTCTTTATCAATAACATTAAGTATTTCATAACAAACACTCATTGTATGATAATCTGTTTTTCCTGCTGGTGATTTTTCATCAGAATATTTTTCATTTGTTGGTGTTAATATTCTATACCATGCACCATATTTATGATCAACAAAATATTTCCAACTATAATCCCAGATTTTATCATACCATTGCCAATATTTTTCATCTTTTAATCTATGACCAAGTAAAGCAGCTGTTGCTAAACTTTCAGCTTGTACCCAAAAATATTTATCACCATCATATAAATTTCCTTCAAGATCATAACCATATATTATTCCACCTTTTTTTTCATCCCAACCATATTTCATTGAACGATCAAAAAAACGAATAGCACGTTCAAGATGCCATGGTTGTGGATCATATCGATCAAGTATAAGTAAAAGTTTTGCCCATTCAACTTGATGACCTGGTTGTATTCCCCATGGACGAAAAATATTTGTTCGAATACCTTTATTATATTCAAAATCTGGTGTCCAATCAACATGATAATGTTCCCAAATTTGATAATGTAATTCTTTTGAACTTTCTGTCATTATTTTAGCTAAAGTTTTTGCACGTTCTAAATAAATTTCATCATTAGTAACTTCATATGCAGCTAACATAGCTTCACATGCATGCATATTATCATTTTGTCCTCGATAATCTTTTAATTGCCAATTACCTGTTGCTTCATTTGCATATAAACCTTTTTCTTTTAACCAAAAATGTTCTTCCATTAAGTCATATATTTCACGAATCCATTCACGTGCTTGTTCAATACCAACACGTAATGCACATGCATATGCTAACATAACAAATGCTAAACCATAACAATGATTTGTATCATCAACTATTTTTCCATCATAAATAATCCATCCATAACCACCTGTTTGTGGATTACGATGAACATTTCGAATATAATCTATACCATGACGTGTTCGTTCAAGATAATCATTTTTACCAAAATGAACATATGCCATAGCATAATTAAAAATGAATCGTGTTGATGAGACTAAATGTCGAGTATGAGGATCATAAACTGTACCATCATCCTTATAAAAATGATAGAAACCACCTTTAGGATCAACTGATTTATCATAAAAATCAAGTGTACGTTGAACATGTGATAATAAAAATGAACGACTTCGAAAATTCATTTTTATTATAAATTTTATCTGAAATAGAATTATGCGATATTACAAAAACACATTATTCAAGAAAATCGAAAAGTATTACATCATCAATAAAGTTATAGAAGAATAAATTTTTAAACAAGACCTATGTCGATGTCATGTAATAGAAAGAAAATAATTCATATCTATATATATATATCTTTCATAGCTCCATGTTAGAAATAGATGATATTGAGTGTTTGCTTGCATTTCAAAAAGAAGTAATTGCTCTGAATGAAAATAAAATCTGTCTACGATTTGAGAGTTACTTTAATATTTTTCTATGTGATTTGCTTATTATAAATCTTTCAAGAAGAGTAAATATCAAAGTAAAGTATTATCTTACTGGTTTATAATACAAAGATTTTTGGGAGAAGTTTTTATCAAATAAAATAAAACATTTATTTCAGTATATACTGAATTGTAGAACGAGTGATGCAAAAATAATGAGACATTTATGTTTGTTGTCTTATGTAACCGATAAAAATTTTCGAACAGGGTCATTCGATAGAGAATTTAATTCTCTACAAAACCTACTATTTGAAATTTACAAAGTTCAATTATCTTCGAAACATTATTCAAAATACGCACAGATATAAATTTCAAAACTGCACCATACCTTTTTAGTCTTATTCGTAATTGCCATAGGTTGACACTTCAAATGAATATAATCAATATTTGTGATTTATATATTCAACTAGTTTATAAGCTCATCAGTCTTTCTTAATACTCATATACGCTAGTGTTGTAACCAGTCGAGAATTTTTGAATCGACTGAAATTTTACTTTTTGTACTCAGGTTTTTAAAAATCTACAAAAAGAAATCCCATGTTATAGTCATCTATATCTATTTGGATTCTCAATGATGAATATGTGACATATCTATAAATATAGCACAAAAAAAAAGAATCATCTACCCATCAACTAATTACCAAACTCCAAATCTTGAATTTTCTCACTCAACTTTTACAGACAAAATCTAATGTTACTCTTCGAACGATGATCGAAATCTAAATTTAAGCTTTAACAAAACATGTGTGAGATAAGTTTAACTCAAATAACACAGTTTTTGATTGTACATTTTAAAAAATGAAGTATACTTCAATTAAAGAAATGAAATAGTATGGATGAGCAGAAAAAAAATACTAATGGCAATCGAAAAATAATGGCAGAGTACTTCAATGCTGTATTTCTCTGTGATACTTGATCATTTTTCAACTAATATCATAATAATTAAATTTCGATAAGAAATGTTTATTTTGATAATATTAGATCATATTATCTGCGATGTCTATTCTGCTTTTACTCGATTCTTTGTGAATGTGAGTGTAAGAAAAGAGAATACTGACACTCACAAAGAGACGAATACGAGCAGAATACACATCGAAGATAACGTAGTCTAGTGTTATCAGAAGAAATATTTCTTATCGAAATTTTACTATTAGGATATTAGTTAAAGAATGAACAAGTATCACAGAAAGGAAGATCATTGTTTTTACTATCACTACACTTAAAGAGAAAGTTTTCTCAAGCTTTCTATACGGACTTGAAGTATTTCTGCCACTACTTTTGAATCGTTCTAAGTAAAACTGATAGTCTATGAAACAGCACTTTGATTATAATGACAAAAGTAGGTAAACTTGCTCTCAACAAATTTTATCAGACAAAAAAAAATGACGTATCTATACTCATAATCTGCACTCGAACCAACTCTTTTTTGAACTGTTTGAAAAAATACGATCTTTTTAGTTTATATAGAGAATTTAATCCTGAGTACGCCAGTAGAACTACTACTCGGGATTCATATCTACAATCAAAAAACTAAATATTGTTAAATTCGAAAAATTCTCTAAAACTTAAAGAGGAAGTTGTGAAAAATGCATTGTTAAAAACAGAATTTTTTGATGATATTAAAATTCATAAAGGATCAATACAATTGATATGAAAAGAAAATTCTTTGAATTTAAAGTAGGTATAGTTTTGAAATTGATATATGTACGTATTTTGAATATTGTTTCAAAGATAATTGAGTTATAGAAATTTCAAATAACAGGTTTTGTAGAGAATTAAATTCTCTATCAAATGAGACTTTTCTAAAAATTTCACTGGTCACCTAAGTCAGTAAAAAAAATTGATCACAAACGTGCATCATTATTTCTATATCAACCGTTAAAAGTCCTACCGTTCGCTTTACATCATCATTACCTTTTTTTTCTAATGACAGAAAGTACTGCATTTTAACATAGAAATATGGCAGTTGATAAGATAAAACAAAGGACGTGTCAAAAAAAAAATATAAGGCTTTCGAATGTTCACAATCATTTATACTTAGACACCTTTATATTACATTTATTATCTTTGTCTCATTTAATAGAACACTGATTATTATTGATGATTCATATTCTATAAGATTTTTTTTGTTCTTTCAGTTTTCGAATTTATTCCATTTTTGTCCCTTCTATGACTAAAAACATGCTATTTATTTGCAAGCTTGAATGTAAAACGAAAAAAAAATGGCTACACTTCATATGCATACATGAAATAAAACAAGAATAAAAAACAACAACAACGTGTACATTTATCAACAACAATCATATAGTTTGAATTTTTTATATGGGGAATTTAATACGAAAACATGGTGAAGATTACAAAATTTTATCGAATGATTTACTTAAACGTTGTTGCACGATAACTGGATTTAAAAATGAAGAAATTCGTAATGAACATAGAAAATTTTTTTCTATAGCTGAAAGTGGTCGTTTAAAAAAATCTCATATGGAAGAATTATTAGGTGATTATTTACCAACAACAAAACGTAAACATTCAAAATATTTCACTAAGTGTGTATTTTCAGCAATTGATACAAATAATGATGGTTATATTGATTTTCTTGAATATTTAATGAGTGTAAGATTTTTTCGAACTGAATCACCTATTGAAAAAGCTGATTTTATATTTCGTATTATTGATAAAAATGGTGATCATCGTGTTTCAAAAGAAGAACTCGAACGTACACTTATATGTTTACAAGAATTTCGTAAATCTTTAACAAATAATCATGCTATAGATGTAATTAATGATGATCTTCAATTAGCAACTCATACAATATTTGAAATATTAGACGAGGATAAATCAGGTTTTATTGGTGTATCAGAATTTAAGGATGCTTGGCTTAAAAATGAAACTATTCGAGCTTTGTTTACTTTTTAAAATATATATTTATTTGATAAATTGAAAATTTCTTGTTTTTTTTTGTTGTATTTTTATGTATAAAAAAATATATCATGGGAGAATTTTTTTTTTGAAATGAGATTATATTTAGTTTCAAACTTTGTAAGGTGAAATTACTGCTATGAAAAAGAATTCAGATTATATATTTATTCATTAGGAAAGAAAGAAAGAAAGAAAGAAAATCAATGATGACAAAGGTGAAAATTTAAAAACATCATACTGATGTCAGAATGAGTAATCTGAATATTATATTCAACAATTTATAGGTACTACATAATTGGATGTTGGATAAGATTGATTAAGTACTTCAAGCAAAAACCAACACAAAAAAAAATAACAGCTCTATGATTTGTTGTATATTACTATTCATATATAGACGTCAATTATCACAAGATGAATAATGCTTTTCTATTTACTCACATCCTCAAGATAATATTCTTGGTATTTTTAATAAATCTATTACTTTTAGTATTTGAAATAGACATATGACAGTTCAACTTCATAAGTAGAAATTGCGTGAGAGTCTCAAGATTGAGAGGGAGAATGTATAAGAAAATGTCTCATAGAGGACTTTCGCGGTCTCTACTCAAAACAACTGTTGACTACTGGTGTAACCAGGTGATTGTAGGTGCCAGAACAGTACCCTATGACCTTGGCGGAAATTCTTGTATTACTCGGTCTCGTCTACTCTTGGTTACACTACCATTTTTGACGTAGATCAGTTCGTATTAAAAAAATTTCCAAACATGGTAAGATGTCAAATGCAAGATGACTGATATTTTATTAGTCAATTCTGCTTCAGCTATGCATTTGATTCATGATTTCGAAGTAATGAATCCTATGCGATTATTTTCGCATAAAAAAATTCGAAATTTTTGTTTACAATCGAATGAGATACTTCCTGATAGGGTAAGTTTCTGTAAACATATGCTTTAGATTGAAAACATTTTGCTTGTGCTGTTCTCTATAATTTTTCATCGAAATAGTTCTTAGCAGAATGATAAGAATATCTCAATGATATGATAATAATGTTTCTTTTTCAATTGTGAACTATATCATGTAAAAATATTCTAAATATATTTCTTGTTTCAAGATTTCATAGAGATGTCGCTAGTAAAAAATACATTTGCTAATAATTGTAAGAACGAAATATCTTTTAAATTCTTCTGACAATTAAACCTACATCAACAATACTCAAGATCGGAATTAATATAAAACTATCTTGATCAAATTTCATATGAACATCTCGATGAGATGATAATCACTTGTCGATTTTTCAGCACTCATATACCAATCTATTCGAACGCCCTCTGTAATTTTTTTCGTTATTGATTTTTTTGTTTTACCAATCATTGGTAGACAAGATGACAGATAGGTTTTTCTTTTCTTTAGATATTTTTCCGCCGTTTAAAAAGGATTTGTTTATTGATTAAGTAATATGTAAAGAACAAATATTAATTATTGAATATATTTACAATAATTAAAAATGCAATCATTGCATTATAATAATGGATCTATTAAATTAACTCGAGAACGAGCAACAATGGTTTCTCGTTGGGAATGTGATGAAGTTGCTAAATGGATAGCTGGTAAATATACAAAATGAATAATATTGATAATTGATTTTCTTTTTCTTTTAAGGCTTAGCTGGTATTCAACCAGATATAAGTGAAATATTTCTTAAACATTCTATAAATGGTGCTGCATTAGGAATTCTTCTACGTGAAGATCTTATTCGTATGGGTATTACACAACTTGATCAACAACTTATTTTAACGCAATCTATTGATCTTCTTCTTACACTTGTAATTAGTTTATTTATTTATTTTATTGAATTCTTTTATTTTGTTTTTCCTATTTTATCTTTTAGATCAATCGTTTAAATAGTGAAACTCTTGCTTTACTATTTATGCGTATACATTGTACAGGTACAACATGTTATAATCTATTAAAAAGATACGATGAAACAATAAATGATAATAGTCATGTAATGAATTCACCTGAATTTTATACATCTATTTGTAATCTATCAAATGCAATTGTTGAAACTTGTCATTGGCTTGGAAGGTAGAAGAAAAATACTCAAAAAATAAATAAATTATTTCTTTTTTTTTTCTTTTTTTGTTAGATTACCTTTTATTGAAAATGTTGAATATATTGATTTAAGAAGAAAAATAATCAAAGCTCTCGTTCAGATACGTGTTTTAATACGTAATTTACGTCTTGTCGATCAAATTAATATGCCAAAATCAAAATTGATTCTCGAAGTAAATTTATTTTGAAATAATAAGAATACTATTTTATATTATATATTTTAGATAAATGAATTACGAACAACTGCTATATCATTAGTTCGTCAGAATAAAGATTCATTATTTTCATCGGATTGTTATTTAACACGAGTTAATTTACGACGCCCAATTAAAGATGATGTCGTAAGAAAACTATATAATATATATATATATATATAAATATTAATTCAAGAGAATTTTTTTTGTTTTAGAATATTGAATATACAACAATGCCGGATTTTACACATATTATATCAAGTATTGAAACAGAAGTAAATTAATTTGAATATTAAAAACATGTGGGAAATAAATTTCATTTCATTTCATTTTCAGGCTATAGGTTATATGGGATCTGGTTTTAGTGCAATTAATATTGGAGATGAAATTATTGAAATTAATAATCAAGTTGTGGTATGTCATTTATATTTCAAAAAATTTCAATGAATCTATTTTGATTGTAAATGAGTATTTTTCTAAATCTGTTATGTATTCTTGATAAAGATGAATGAAATAAAAAAAAAACCTTACGAGAAAAGTCCTCCAACTAATAAATCAATTTTGAGTCGAGACTATGTATACTCAAATGAGCTATGAAAACGTTTACGCTTTTAGCTTATTGCTGTGGAGAAACTATAGTTTTACGACAGGTTTTTTTTTTATCTTCCTCAAAAAACTGATTTTCAAATTCCACTATGAAACTTTGCATAGAGACAAGCCGCCTTAACAAGGGTAGTGTATTGTGAAAATTTCAGGTGTTTTGATTTGCTTCTATCGTGAAATATGACTATTTATATGAGTGATGTAAAACCCACGCTATTACCATAATTGTATCTTAAAATAGGAACAGCGACAAGATCTGAAATATTCACAAAAACTACTCTCATTAATACTTGTTTCTATGTAAAGTTTCAAGTTGAAATTCGAAAATCAGTTTTTCTGAGGAGGATGAAAAACTACCGTAAAAAATTATAACATCTTCGCCGAAAACAATTTATCAGTTGGAGGGGTTTTCTTATTAGTTATAGAAAATCAAGAGAACAGACACGTCATGAACATCTAAAACTTCACATCTTATCAGAGGTTCTGATAAATAAATCCAACTCTTTCGTTTTATACATCAATACTTATTAACAATCGAGTTTTGTAAACGATCAGATTTATTATTTTACAAGATTTTCAAATTTTTTCTCCTGTCGTACGTAAGTGTTAGAAAGAATCTAAAAAGTGATTTGAATAAAGAAAATGTTGACCAACTAGAATATCAGGAAATAAAAATTATTATTAGATTCGCAAAGATATGGACTCTAGAAAATCCAGTTTTTCAACATCTAGAGCGTGTCAATATAATTTTGTTTAGATCACATGTAATGATAGAGTAAACCATTTTCTACAAAATGAGATATCGCCGAGTTTTCTGTAATGTAGCAATTTGATTGAAGGTCAAAAAAAAAGGTTTGTCTACAAGAAATTGGAAATAAAATGACTTTAGAAGCTTCCGTGAGATTGTTGTATCTCAGCTAACTCGGAGACGTCTCAATTTGTAGAGAATTATTTGCTCTATCGTTTTGTTTAGTCTAAAAAAAATTATATTTACCCGTTGTAGGTGCTGAAAAACTAGTCTTTTGGTTTTCTGGACTCCTCGTCTTTGTGAACTTGATAATAATTTTTATTTTCTTATATTTATTTTGGAAAAATTTTCCTCAAATCAAATCACTATTTCCTCTCATTACTTTATAGATAAGCTTTCTACAAGGATCTATGAAATTAAAACATTTGAAATTTAACTTCTAACAACATTCAATCCTTTCTTTTTTGTTTCTATAAAAATGGCTTTCACTTATATATGAATAGTCTATCATTTAAAATATAACATCGAACCTTTTGTTTTTGAAGATTGGTTGGGATCCAATACATTTTCCTGATTTACTTCGTTCATCATCTCATGTAAATGAAATATGTTTATTAGTAAAAAAAATGCCCCGACATAATGATGATGAAATTTATGCAAAACGTATAGCTGATTTAGCACCAAATCCTCGACGTACACGTGCTCGTGGTGCTTTAGAACGAATGAAACAAACAGAATCTAATCGAACAAGATTATTAGAACAAGAAGGGTAAGAATAAAATATTTCATTATTGGTTTTTTTTTCTTCTTCTGCTCTTCTAACATTTTTTTTTTACTAACCATCATAGAATTCGAGAAGAAAAACAGGTAGATTAAGTTATTTATGTTGTATTACTATGAAGCGCTTTTTTTTTCTCCTCTTTATGTTGTCTTGTCAATATTTATTATTGGTTTTAAGAACGGATCTCTTCAGGTGATAAAAAAAAGAAAACATTCGTCCTAGTTGAAATTTTAAGTGTATAATAGGGTTCTCTTTGTGGACAAAATTTTGATTTGAAATAACAACATTGAATTTTTGATGATAAATCTTGCAATAAGAATGTGAAGTATTATTGGTTTTGCTTAGTATTAGACGATTCTACTTGCTGACACAGATCTCATCTCGAAAGGTTTCCATCACTTGGAGAGATTCTTTCTGTAGTTCGTAAAAACAAGGTTTTTTTTTCATTGGTATTTTTCTTTATATATATATAGAGAAATTGATGTTGAAAGTGATGATGAAACTCTTTATCAAAGTAAACGTTCTTCACAAATAAAACGTGATCAACATTCATCATTAC